AACCTACCGAGCCTTATTCTCTACGGAGGTGTCTCTACAAATTCAACAATTTGGAACAGATCATTTTAATCGGCATGGTGAGTTTTCCGTTAAAATCTGAAACATGGTAATACAGTAAATAAAAACATCGTAAAATTCTCATGACTCAAACACAATCCAAAAATGTATTCCTATTCTTCGTAGATTCTCCTCATTGATATCTGAGAGCATGACGAATCAACGCCGTGTAGATCACCACGAGATCTTATTTCCAGTTTCCAGCGACCCATGTAAGGTTCGATTGAAACAGTGTTTCTAGCTCGTTGTCGGTGTTATTAGGTTTCGATCTGGTTGCTTCATCCAAGCAGCCTCTTCCTGGATCGGCACCGTCCTTCAAGGATACTTCCTTGTTTCTGAAGCCTCCAGGAAAATCACCTCGTCCTCCTAATTAATCACCACCGTGTTCGCGTTCACGTCCAATACGTTTCAGCTAACGGCAAGAACGAACTATAACGAGCCATTCAGGTATCGACGAACGTCCATGAACTCGCGGATTCCGCAAAACAAATACCAATAAGACCGGCTAACGAACGATTCGTCTATAATTGAGGAGAGATCGTGTGAAATAGGAAAGCGTCGCTATGTAGCTGGATTTACTAAGAACGATTCACATACGAAAACATCGTTCAACGATGAGTGCAAACGATATTTTTCAAACCCAGAATCAAAGTTAAATATTGTTGTTGAATTGCGTTTAATCGAGTGTTAAAATTACCGCGTTTCTACGAGGGAAATGTTTCGATTGTAGTCGCCGATTGAGTTCAGTGAACATAACCATTAATTGTTAATTATCAGTAAACTACCGATCTTTATGTAAACTCCAAATTTCATGATTTTATTAAAACCAAAAATGAATCGAAATATTATTGACAGTTAATACAACAATTTCTTGTATTTGACAAATCTGCATTTATCAAAAATGCGAACAAATCCGCGCGCCAACTATTTCATTAATTTCCAATCAATATGTGAAAATGATTTTGGTCACATTATTATTTTTAATTGGTGCAAGTTTAATTTAACATGTAAATTGTAACAATAAAACGATGATAATATTTGAAAAAATTATATACATAATTTTTTCTTCAATATGTAACCGAAATAAATGTTTTCGGAGATTATATTATAATTATTAGCAATTGGAATAGTTTATTTCGACGATAACTCTTACGACTGACAAAACAAATTTCCGTCACTAATAATGAAAAAGAACGGTCACATATAACTATTATTTATAACAAAAGACATTTTATAGCGATTGTAATAGTTATGGTTTTTGATCGAACCTGTTAAGAAACGAAAGGAACATTTTCATTCAATCCAATTCGATTGTCGCTATCGACGTATACAAAAAAATATATAAAATTGTAATTTTTAGTAACAATCCGTAGTTAGTTGTCGCAACTGGAAAAGCAGAACTTAACAGATACGTTTGACTTCCTTAGTTACCGTGATTCCCGGTGTTTACCGTTGCTTGATCTTATAAATCCTTAGCGTGACGATCTAATTCCGCGAGTCCGCAAATGTCAAAACATTGTTCAAGTCGTAAAGAATTATATTACATTAATTATAGAAAATTCGCGTTAATTAAAGAGTCGCACGAAGGCGAATATCGACTTTGTAATTATCGTTAAAATAAGAACGCATAATACTAGGCTATTATTAGATACCGTCAGCGCTAAACCGACTGCTCGAAGTCCGATTATTGGAAGAATACCATTCCATTAAGGTGATTGGCTAACAGAATTTCCATCAGATTCCTCGTCTTTCGCCATTTTATGACGGTTTATCGATACTAACTGAAGAAAGTGTAATTAACCTAACTAGTGTTCGTGCGAGATCTTTATTTAATCGTTTCGAAGTTAATTCGTATGAGCCACGGTGTGTCCTAGTTGGAAGGCGCCACATTTAAATCGGTACGAAGTTTATCACGGACGTTAACAGAAACAATGGAAACTAATAGAGTAGTCGTGCCTATACCAATACCCATTCCCGTTTAATTAACGTGCGAGAATCGCATCAACTAAATGGCTGTGTCTGATCAAAGCGTACGCTAATCAACCCAGGCCTTTCGTACCTCGCGGTATTAACCCGTACGATTATGTTCGACGTGATACGCACTAACAGTTGCATTATGTACCACGTAACTATCTGATCAGAATAGTAAACTGTTCATGCGGAAATAATGAAGAAACTTTCGATGATTAATTATTTCGTCCGATGTGCATACAGCGTGCATACAGTTTATTTACTAAAACAATGTTATTCGATCAAGAATTTCGGTGACATTGACAAATTCATTGACAATTCCGTTAAATGATAGCTTAAGATTAATGTCCGTTAAAAGGATCGTGGTTTAATCTCATTGATGACGTTATCGTAAGGGAACTGTTTTACTATTAAGTTCATACATTCCTGGATACTGCTATAATATTTTTTTATAGCTGTAGCATTTTTTTAAAAATATAATGTAAGATTTAGTGGACGAAGTCGACAAATTTTTACAAAATGACATTTGCAAGACGTTTGTAGACGTATAACGGAATTAGACGCATCATCAGAACCTAGAACTTACGAGAACATTCTACAAGAAGTTTTTCTACAATATTTACGTGGATATTGAAGACAAAAATCCTCAAAGTTTCAATGTACGAAAATCCCTGTACAGTAAAGTCGAATAACAAATTTTATCACAGAAATGAATTCCACTTTTCACCAGTTTTCAAGCCGCTGAGACAATTTCGGAGGGTGCCGTAATAATTTTATAAACTGTAATAATTTACCGTAACATTCAAACTAAAGAACTGTATAAAGACAAAGTCTCTATTCCGTAATTCGCTGGTTAATTTAAACAGAATATAGGATAACGAACGCGTTTATTCAACAGGTCGATTAAGGTTCGCGAAAATAAAACGCAGGCGTCGAACGGTAAACGGTTCCCTTTCGTTCTAGAGCGGAGAACCCCGGCGTATCACGATCTTGACCGTGAAAAGTTCCCGCTACGTAGAGCGGAGGCGGCGGTGTTGCGAACTGGATCGATGCGTTTCAACGTTATCGCAAAATAGAAAGTATGTACTTGGAATTGCAAAGCGATCGCCGACGGGCCGTTTCCGCGAGGAGGCGAACGACTGTCGTTTGTCGGGTCTTGCCCGCGGGAACATGGACCGTCATCCGTGATCTTGATTCGTCGACGTCGGACGAGAGAAAGAGAGAGAGAGAGAGAGAGAGAGAGAGACCGACCCGTCACCGCACTTACACATTTTCGAATTGCAAACTCGCGATTGTCCGTTTCCGCGAGCTCGGTACCCACGATCGGTCTCTATGAACAATGCGGGAACTGCAGATTCTTATGGGTTTCGAGTTCGCGTTCTGACTTCCTCGTCCGGCTTCCAAGAGATCGATGCACGAAAACAAACGCAATTCTCTCTCTCTGTTATTTTCAGTACATACGGTAAGTGTGGGTATTACTGCGGACGCACCAAATACTGCTGTATTTTATAAAAGTAGTAAAATCTAACATTTTATAGTGTGTAATCTTCTAAAAATGAATCTCATCATTTTTTGTATATGTTTAATATTGATAATTTATAATATACAACTAACAGCAAACGCAGTTTTAATTCATTTATTGATTTTTGATATTCGGAAGCTTATGAAATATTCGTAAAGCCAACTGTGAACGCTGATTCAAAAGACATTTATATCTTGGTAATTAATAATAAACTATTCATTTTAGCGTTATTTTTAGATAAAGTAATCGTTACTTTAATAACAAATCGACATACACTGAGACTATTATCTATTCTCAAATATTATTTACTAACACAGTATTTAGCGCATAGCTTTTTTCCATGTGTGTACATTACTGCGGTGTTTTACCGAACTGCGTACCTTAACTTATACAGTGCAGTTCTCGATGATCCGGTGCGAACATGTTTGATCGTAGGATACCTATACCTAATTTATGAAATGCTACAGTGAGAATATCTTAATCCTAAGAATTGTATAGCTGTGTGTGTGTACATTTAAAAGAAAATGGGTTATGTCAACCTTGACACGCAGTAATCGGAACGTCCGCAGTATTTGGCTCGCAGTAATAGATACATAACCGCAGTATTATCTTATTTTCTCTGTCAAAGTTCGCCTTCATTAAGGAACCGCAGTAATACCTACACTTACCCTACTCTCGAATACTTTGACTATCGCATCAGCAATCTTAAAAATTTTGACTTTCCAGTCTCGGTTTCAGTAATTAAACAAACGACTTTGACATTGTGGGAATTTTTGGATGAATGGCAAAAAGTTTTAGAAAATTTTTACAAACAGGCAAATTTAATTTATAAAAGCGCGAATTTGATTTGGAAAAAAAGTGAATATTACTTGTAAAAAGATGAATTTCGAATGTAAAACTTGTATCACTGACTCTTCATTTTAAGCTCTCTATAGTCGAATACTCCTCCAACTAAAGTTTGATACTCCGTTACAATTTTTTACAATAAAAAAAACATTGTGCATCTAATTTCTGAAACTGAATGTTTCATTCTATTACTGTAAACTTGTTGTAGATTTCAATTAATTCTCCGCACTATTTATTTCGACACATTAACATTGAAGTGAAAATAATACAATCTACAAATTTTTCGTTAGATCTTGTGCTCTTCACATGCATATTTCATATTAACTTGCAACAAATTCATGTATTGGATCCGTACAGAAATTCTCGTCAACGTCTAACACAATAACACATTCCCTACATATTGTTATTAAGGGTGAGGCTTTGTTTACTTACTACATTGCGGTTCTACATGCACACGTAGAAGAAACACATGTAGGTATATTTTTCTGCGTGTGTATAGTAGGGCCTCAGTGTACATAGTAGGTACACAAAGCACGAACATAAATTGCTATGAGTAAAATGTAAATTCGCGAAACGTTTGTTTTTGTTACAGGTATTACTTTACAGAGGTCATGATAAACGTTTGATGTTTGTGATCAACGAAGATTATGCCATCTCCGTTTCTGTTCACCATTATTTGTAGGACAACATAATTCTTAGCGTGTCTACATGGAATGCACGACGTGACTTCCTCGTAGTCAAGGTAAAGATCGGGAATACTTTATGGGCGCCCGTTTCATGGGGGAACTATCGCAAGTATCTTACTTATACAAAAGATCGCGACATAAACGATGATCGTCCTGAATTTTTGAATTTTATATCCTCCACCTACATACGAACGGCCCCTTACGATTTTTCTTGCATTGCGTTTTATAGTCGCAAAGTAAATTAATATTGTATATTATGTATTGTATATTAATTAATTAATTAATATAATAATATAATAATTATTTATATATTATATTATACATAGTATACAATATTAACCCTTTGCACTCGAGGGCTCCGGAGCGGAGCCATTTAAAATTTGTCTTCAAACTCGAGGGCTCCGCTACGGAGACAATGCAAATAATTTTCAGTTTTTAACATAAGAACAAAAACAAATCGTAAAAATTAGTTATAGGATGTTTCGCTGTTGGTGACAAATGACGTTTGTATCCATAAACAATTAAAAAAATAATAACATACAACGATGACTTTTCTTTTAATGCTTATATCATGAACTTACATGTGAATATGATCTTTTCACTAAAATGGCTTCGAGTTGCTGGTAATATGACTCAAAAAAAACTTCGAGTGCAAAGGGTTAATATATATATATATATATACAGGGTGTTCCACAATTATTTTAACAGCCGAAAATGAGGGGTAACTAAGGTCATTTGAAGTAACTTTTTCCTTTGCGAAAATGCAATCTGCGGCTTTGTTTACGAGTAATTAACGGAAAACACTGACCAATGAGAGGTGACGGCGCGAAGTTCGAGAGCCCGCAGCACGAGGCTTTGACAGATGGTCGGGACGGATTCGAGCCGCGTTCGAAGTATTGAACAAATCACGAAGCGAGAACTGTCCAGATTTTTTTTACTACGTAACAGTGACATTTTTAAGAAAAACGCTGTTCACCTTTACTTTAGAACGTCTGAAGAATATTTACT